AGCATGAAACAATATAAATCCTGTTGAGATGGCAACAGCACCGAGAACTTCCCTGAAGTAAAAAGTCTACTAAATCAGTACTAGTCTCCTGTAGAGCAAGGAAACTTTCCCGATCGTTCACCATCAGTTCCATTCCAAGACCACAAAGAACGATCTACGGAATGACAGGCAACTACCAAGTGTCAACCTGAAAATTCCCCAACTTATACTGGCGCCCTACTAGTAAAAGAGTAAGAGATACTCAACGGGTTCAGGAATCCAGCATAAATGGCTTTGTCACATCACCCAGTGACATCTGTTGAGATGGCAACAGCAACGGATAGAGAATCCAGACATATTTTGCATTTGGATATATCAGCCCTTAAACCAACATTCTTTCCCCGTGATTTGGGTTTCAACCACAGCCACTACGTGGATCCCGAAGGAACCTCAACCAATTGACCGGTCAGGACTAGGTCCTGTGGTCAACCGGCCACCCGTAGTGCCAGATTATATGGTGCTCTGGTTAGACTCCATTCCAAATCATTCCAAGGCGAAGCCGAGGATACATTTGACATCACCAGTCTCGGCTGACTAGAGATACTGGTAGCATCTCTTTACCCCGGGATTGCAATACACCAAGGAAACATGCTCCGGGGGGAACAGACATACAGACAGACAGACAAAAGACATACAGCTTTGGATCTCGAAGTTATCTAGGGTTTTCAGAAAATTGATTTAAACAAACATACAGACAGGCGGACAGAGGGACAGACAGACAAACAGATAGACAGAAGACAGACAGACAGACATATAGACAGACGGTCATAGCTTAATCGACTCCGCTATCTATAAGGACTCGTAATATATGTATATACTTTATAGGGTTTGAAAAATTATATTATAGAAATCACAAACGGATTGACAAACTCTCTCACGAAGGTGAGGGTATAAATTACAATTGCAATTAGAAATTTTTCTCAAACACTTACTCCATTAAGAATAAAATAGTAGAAATTCGATTGACGATCAATTTTCTTCTTTTTATACAGCAGAGTCTTAACTCCTCAAACTTCCGCTGACATCAGTTAACAAAGTTGCGTGGTCTACATTACATGTTGTTGTTGTATGTATGTATATACTTGACAACGGATGTTATTGTATATTGCGTGTATATTTTTTATACCCTATACCACAATAGTGTATAGGTATTATACATTTGTGTTGATGTTTGTAACGCACAAAAATATTGGTCCTACGCCCACCTTAAAGTATACCGATCGACTCAGAATCTCTTTCTGAATCGAGTAAGCCATGTCCGTCCGTCTGTCCGGCTGGCTGGCGGGCTGTCCATGTAAACCTTGTGCGCAAGGCACAGGTCGCAATTTTCAAGGTATTTTGATGAAATTTGGACCGTACGTGTTTATCGACGAAGCCTATTGAAAATGGTTGAAATCTGTCCATTATTTCACCTAGCCCCCATACAACCCTACCCCCCGGAAAGGGCTTTTGAGTTCATAATTATCTTAAATATTGTAGTGTCTCTACAAAAATTGGCAAAACTCAGTTCTATATGCGTCTTAATAATACTACCAATTTTCTTAATTATCGGACTTTATTTGACCCTAGCCCCCCATACAAAGTCCCCTTTAGAAAATGACTTGAAAGTTAATATTTCACTAATAAACACTAGTATCACTATGAAATCCAGCATACATAACTCTGATGTAAACGTAAAGCCATGTATCAAAATTTATAAGGATAGGCCCATATTTACCCTTGCCCTTATAACAAATTGTTAAAATATTTCGGAATTAAGATAAATTTAACTTAAATGCTTTGTTATTAAATATAATCCAAATTTTTAACATACTCAGTGGTGTAGGGCATCATATGGTCGGCTATGCCCGACTATACTTTCCTACTTGTTATACCCTCCACCACCATCAGTGGTCATTCCGTGTGCAACACCAAGAAATATTCATCTGAGACCCAACAAAGTATATATATTCTGCGTCCTTATCAAATTCTGAGTCGATTTAGCTATGTCCGTCTGTCTGTCCGTCTGTCTGCCTAAAACACGCTCACATTAAAACTAAGCAAAGGAAGTATACCAAATTCACCGAAAATATTCATTGTTGTCCTAAGCAGTTTGGTATTGAAAATGAGCAAAATCGGTTCATACCGGGAAAAGTTATGAATCAAAATTTAAAACAACCTCGAAAAAAATAAGCATTTTTTACACATTCGGATGCAATTTTCTCGAAAACTATGCAAGATAAATTCATGAAAATCACCATACATAAGTTTCTATACAAGAACTTGATCCCTGCTGAAAATTGCTAGAATCGGTCCACAATTTCATATACCTCCCACACAAAAGTACATATTCCCGGAAAATGGGTTTTTTGTTAATAACTTCCGTCAGAATGTTGATATCTTTTACAAATTAAAATCTTATGTCAATAGAATTCATTCAGAGAAAAAATTTTCTGGATCGGTCCATAATTGCACATAGCTCCCATACAAGGTCCCCTCCCGAAAATCACTTAAACGCACATAATTCATTACCAAATTAAGATAACCATATAAAATTTGGTACAAGCATTGCTTATCGGTACAGAAATATTACTGAGAAATTTTTTTTCGATCGGTCCATAATTGGTCATAGCTCCCATACAAGGTCCCCTCCCGAAAATTACTTAAACGCACATAACTCATTACTTAATTAAGATATCCATATAAAATTTGGTACAAGCATTGCTTATCTAAATTACTAGAAATATTACTATGAAATTTTTTTCCGATCGGTCCATTATTGGTCATAGCTCCCATACAAGGTCCCCTCCCGAAAATCACTTAAACGGGCATAACTAATTACTAAATTAAGATATCCATATAAAATGTGGTACAAGTATTAGTCGTATGCACAGAAACATTACTGTGAAATTTTTTCCCGATCGGTCTATAATTGGTCATAGCTCCCATACAAGGTCCCCTCCCGAAAATTACTTAAACGCACATAACTCATTACAAAATTAAGATATCCATACAAAATTTGGTAAAAGTATTGCTCATATGAACAAAAATATTACTGTGAATTTTTTTTCCGATCGGTCCATAATTGGTCATAGCTCCCATACAAGGTCCCCTCCCGAAAATCACTTAAACGCGCATAACTCATTACTAAAGTAAGATATCCATATAAAATTTGGTACAAGTATTGCTTATATGTACAGAAATGCTACTGAGAAATTTTTTCCTGATCGGTTCATAACTGGTCATGGCTCACATACAAGGTCCCCTCCCGAAAATCACTTAAACGTACATAATTCATTACAAAATTACGATATCCATATAAAGTTTGTCACAAGTATTGCTCATATATAGGGAAATATTACTGTGAAATTTTCCTCCGATCGGTTCATAATTGGTCATAGCTCCCATACAAGGTCCTTTTCAGAAAATCACTTAAACGCACATAACTCATTACTGAATTAAGATATCCATATAAAATTTCGTACAAGTATTGCTTATATGCACAGAAATATTACTGTGAAATTGTTTTCATATCGGTCCATAATTGATCATAGCTCCCATACAAGGACCCTTTCAGTAAAACTTAAAGGCACATAACTCATTACCTAATAGTGAAAATATTTGGCATAAATACTATTTTTGTACACATAAATGTTATTTCAAAATTTTATCACGTTCGGTCCATCGTGGGTCATAGCTCCCATACAAGGTTCCCTCCCGAAAATCACTTAAACGCACATATCTCATTACCAAATATTGATATCCATACATTTAGCACAAATATTGCTCTTATATACATAAATTACACTATAAAATTGTTTTACGATCGGTCCATATTTGGTCATAGCTCTCATACTAGGTCCCCTCCAGAAAATCACTTAAATGTACAATATTCATTACCAAATAATGATATAGATACAGAATTTTCCCATACAAGGTCCTTTTACGAAAATCTCTTAAACGCACATTACTCATTACAAAATAAAGCTATTTATACAAAATTTGGCACAAATATGTATTCGTTTTGTATACAAAAATTCTATTTCAAGTTTTTTTCACGATCGGTTCATAACATGGGTGCGGTCGGTCCCATACGAGGTTCCCTTCAGAAAATCACTTAAACACACATTACTTATTACTAAATTACGATATAGATACATATTTTGACTGAAATATAGCTTTAATGTACAGAAATTTTGCTTAAAGAATTTTTTACGATCGGTCTATAATTGGTCATATCTCCCATACTAGGTCCTGCCCCTAAAAGCACTTTAACCGTATTTAACTAGTTTCATTATCAATTTGTGTATATATGTATTTTGAAAATCCTTAAATCTTTCACACACATGCAAATTACTAAATATCGCTAAAGCATATCTAAGGCCCTATAAAAATAGAAAAGAAAATGGCGTTAGTAATGTTCAATAAATCTTGGAATTGTAATAAATTTAAGCTGTTTAAATCTTGGGATTTTCTATTTTAAACATGAGAAAACTTACAAATATTTGATCAATTAGAAATGTATTAATATAAAAGAAGCTGGTGGAGGTTATTTAAGATTCGGCTCAGCCGAATATAGCAATCTAACTTGTTTTCCTCTGTGTATGTAGTTGTCTCTGATTCTAAAAACCATACAAATAGATATTGTTACGCCGTCATACAATTTTTTTTTACAAAATAAAATTAAAACAAATTTTTTTCTTTGGCCTAAAAATATGCAAAACTGAAACAAAAACCACAGAAGTTTGCTACACCTGTAACTGATTTTACACGATTAAAATTTGTAAATGAAATAATGATAATTTAAATTTTGAGACAAATGAAGTACATAAGGATTTTTAAAATTTCTTATATTTTAATTTGTTTTAAATTTAACTAACTATATTTAAAATAAATATCTTATTCTATACAATAAATAACTTAATTAACTAATTGATTAACTACATATTCGATTGATTACTTTAAAAGCTACTGTTTAACTTTTTAAAATTTAATCAACTTTTCATCTGAACACAATCATTCATTCATTTAGACTAGAAGTTCTTTGACATTTAACAGACTTTTTGGTAAATGTCCCACAGCTGCAACAAAATCTGGCACTTGACAAGCGTACATAAAACCCTTTTTTAAATTTTTATTACGCATCCAGCGCAACCAGGGCACCTGGTCATGAATGTCATCGCAGATTATAAACGATGAGTTGATTTCATTTAGTGTAGCATGAGGATTATTTACGCCAACTAAAGCAATACCACGCATGGGATAACGTGAACGATCAATTAGTACACGATAGTATAGCTGAGGTACGGGTAGTATGCCATTGTTGTTACTGTCCATGGTTAAATAGAAATCACGATATTGTACGACACCAGCACCAGCACTATCGCCAGTTTTGTATGGCAATTGTAATACACCAAAGGTGCCAGTATAACAGTCCACCTGTAGCTTTGACTTTGCCACAAACTTACGCACTTCATCCTCCAGGGCTGCCCACTGGCCACCATTGAATGCCTGCCACTGCGGAGCAACGTTAAAGAAATTAAAGGTGGCTCTCTGTTGATTGCCATAGATAAAGTCGGATTTAGCTGCCAAATGGCCACGAGCCAAAAACAATGTATTATTGTCGAAAAGATGCTCATGCTGGCCTTGCAACAAACCTGCCGCTTGCTGTCGCTGATATTGTTGTGTATAAAGCTGATTCATATTGACATTTTTGAAATGGCCAGCTTTGCTAAAATTCAAGCGCTTAACGTGTTTCTGAAAATGTACACTGGCCGGCAACAATGTATGTTGCACATACAATGTACGCAACAACGTATCGTCATAACAGACACGCATTGTTTCCAGAAAACGATTACCAGTAATGTTGAAACCTACACGGTACATTTGAGCTTCCACGGATGCCTGATCATCTGTCATTGTAGGACATTTCTCATGCAATTGTTCAACCATATACTTGGCCGGTTGTTCACAAATGAATTGTTGAAACTCATACTTCTCACCCTGCCACAGGAAAGTTTTATCGTGTAAGCAACGTGGTCGCAATGTCTTTGTATTCTTGGCCACTTGTAAGATATTACTGAATTTAATATTATTGTTTTGGTTTTTGTTGGATGATTCTGAGCCAGTATTATTGTCCTCCGTTGTATTGGCAAATGACTTCGAACAATGTAATTCTATAACAGCTCCACGTGGTATTTGCAATTGGCCACGCGCATTGGGTAACCAAAATTGATTTGTATCTGGTATGATGTATAGAGGTTGTGGTTTGTTTCTTTTTGGTAAGTCCTGTTGTATGTCCAATAAACAAGGTGGTCCTTAATGGAGAGAAAAGGATAAGTGTTAAATAAATTTGTATTAATGTCGATCAGTGTGTAGAAATTCAATTTTAATTTAATGAAAGGACTTTTTTATGGGGTTTAACATAAAAAATATTTTTATACCCACCATCAAAAAACGGGCATATCTCTTTTAAAATTACTAGTATAGCGATGAAATTCGACACAAATAAGTTTCATGCGAGTCAAAATCTCTGTACCAAATTTTATGAGGATCGGTCCATAATTGACCCTACCCCCCATATAAGGTCCCCTTCAAAAAATGACTTAAACGCTCATTACTGGCTTAAAAATACGAGTACCGAAATCAATCTATTAAATTTTATATGGATTGGCCCATAATTGACCCTACCCCCCCATATAAGGTCCACTTCAAAAAAATACTTTAATGCTCATTACTTAAAAATACGAGTATAGCGATGAAATTCGACACACATAAGTTCCATGCGAGCCAAAATCTGTCTATCAAATTTTATGTGGATCGGACCATAATTGACCCTACTCCCCATATAAGGTCCCCTTAAAAAAACGACTTTAACGCTCATTACTGGCTTAAAAATACGAGTAAAATCCTCTCTAGCAAATTTTATGTGGATCGGTCTATAATTGACCATATCCCCATATAAGGTCCCTTCCCGGTAATTTTTTAACGCTCATTACTGTCTTAAAAGTACGAGTGTATAGATGAAATTTGACATAAGTAAGTTTAATACGAGCCAAAACCTAAGAAACTTTTATAGGAACGTAAATCTTCCTACCGAATTTAATGCGTAAAGTGTCGGGAACTGATATTCGATGTAAACATGTTTTATACGAACCAAAATCGGGCTAAAAGAATTATGAAAATTTTTATAAAAAACGGTCAATAATTCACCATACCTCTCATATAAGATCCTCTTCAGTAAATTTTATGAGTAATATCACCCTGATGTGTATAGGAGAGCATTCCCTTTACGGCATAAGGTTTGATGGTGGGTATATTAGATTCGGCAGAGCCAAATATAGCATTCATATTTATATATATACATTTAATTTGTAAAATTAACTATAAACTAGCGACAGACGGACACCGGTTTATCGTAATATCACCTAGAGACGTATTCGGTAGAACAAATCACGAATCCATCAAATAAACCAAGTATTTGTTCTTAATTACAGAGAACACACTGTGATAAATTTGGTATGAATAATATAAACTTTAAACATACCTGGACAAGGAAAATTCAATGGTAGCACTTTTATAAGATATCTTTCATCCATCACCATTTAACCCAGCACACTTCTCTTTCATTCGACCCACTCATGGAGAACAACATCCGAAACACTTACTCTTACGGAGGATAAATCCCGTATACTTTACATCCACCCATCGAATAACATAGATGAACCGATATTGGAGGAAGGGGAGGGTAACACGGAAATAGTTATTACAACTGACATGGTTAAAGGGGCAATCAAGAGCTTTGCTCCCTATAAAGCTGCAGGGCCGGATGGAATTTTCCCGGCACTTTTGCAGATCGAGGCGGGACTGGTTTCCGTACATCTGTCACAGATATTCACTGCATGCTTAAAATTGGCATATACCCCAGTTAAATGGCAGGATGCAAGGGTAATATTTATACCCAAACCAGGGAAACCAAGCTATGCGACACCTAAGTCCTATCGACCGATAAGTCTTACGTCCTTCCTACTTAAAACCTTGGAACGGATAGTCGATAGCATGGTTAAAAGCAGCATACCATACAATGACCTTAAATATAAGCAGCATGCTTATGTAAAGGGACGATCGGTGGAAACCGCTTTAAATGAAGTTGTCCACTACATAGGTGAATCTTTCGATAGCAAACTGTATACACTGGCGGTATGCATTGACATCGAAGGCGCTTTCAATAACGTGCACACTGATACCCTTATCCAATCCCTAGACCAGTTTTATGTTGACCGGGTGCTCCGTAACTGGATCAACTACATGCTAAGGAACAGATGGATAAGCTGCGAGATGTACGATATAAGTATCAGGAAAAAGGTATTTCGCGGTATACCACAGGGTGGCATTTTGTCACCTTTACTCTGGGTCACCACGATTAATAGCCTCCTAAGGACCCTAACCGAGAAAGGACTTAGACCTGTCTGCTATGCAGACGATGTCGTAATACTTTTAAAGGGAAAGGATCCAAATTACTTGTGTAGAAGAGCTGAGGAGGCTCTGAATACGGCCTTGAGCTGGGCTCAACTGAGAGGCCTTAATGTTAACCCGGCGAAGACGGAAATCTGTCTTTTCACAAGAAAGACAAACATTTCTACATATACTGAACCTTGCTTCTTGGGCAAGAAGATACCGGTGACAGACAAAGTTAAGTACTTAGGTGTAATACTTGACCGGAAATTAAAATGGAGACACCACATAGAGGATAGGATCAACAAGGCACATCGGTGCTGGGCGATATGTAGGAGAACCATAGGCATGAAATGGGGTCTTAGTCCTACTATGACAAATTGGCTTTATAAAAGTGTAATTAGACCAATTCTAGCTTATGCTTCAATAATCTGGTGGACTGCTTTGGACAAAAAGTGTAATATCAAACTACTACAGGGAGTTCAACGTACATGCTGCTTGGGTATAAGTGGTGCCATGTGTACTACTTCAACCAAGGCTCTGGAAACGTTGCTAGATATTCCACCCATTGAAACATATATAAGATATGAGGCGGCGCTTACAGCCGAACGGCTCTTTACTTTAGGCGAACTGGCCAAAAACGGTTATAGGACACGTCATCAATGTATACTGGACACATTGGAAGGTTATACACATTCATCGGACGTGCCTGATCGCATACCAGACACTGAATATGTCGGAAACTTTGAAACGCTAATCCCAGATAGAATGTCTTGGTCAAGCGGAACATTAGAGAAAATACCAGTAGGAATCCGTTGCTACACGGATGGCTCTCAATTAGGGGACAAAGTGGGTCTGGGGTTCTATATTGAAGACCCAGAAACAGAAATATACCACCGTTTACCTAATCATAACACAAGCTTCCAGGCAGAAGTACGAGCAATAACGGAATGTGTAAATTGGATTAGAATAAATATGGCGCCCACAGGGCTTAATATATTTACCGACAGCCAGAAGGCAATTTGTGCGATATCAGGTGATAGAATTAAATCTAAGACCGTATTGGATTGTAAAAAAAGCTTTAACTGAATACTCTCCCAGAGGTAAGGTTCACATCATATGGGTACCAGGCCACTCGGGAGTAATCGGCAACGAAATGTAATAGCTTTAAAGGGAAGAGAGCTCGATGTAGTTAACCTGACAAACGCAAAACCATTCGACGCAACAAAAGCTGAATTAACAAGTTAGAGTGCTATATTCGGCTGAGCCGAATCTTAAATACCCTCCACCAGCTACTTTTATATTAATACTTTTTCTAATTGATCAAATATTTGTAGAAATAAGTCTTCTCATGTCTTAAATAGAAAAATCCCAAGATTTAAACAGCTTACATCTATTACAATTCCAAGATTAATTGAACATTATAAACGCCATTTTCTTTTATATTTTTATAGTGCTTAGCAATATTTAATAATTTGCATGTATGCATGTGTGTGAAAGATTTAAGGATTTTGAAAATACATACATATATATAATTTTGTTCTACACAAATTGATAATGCAAATAGTTAAATAAGGTTAAAGCGCTTTAAGGGGCAGTTCCTAGTATGGGAGATAAGATCAATTATAGACCGATCGTAAAAAATTATTTAAGCAAAATTTCTGTACATAAAAGCTATATTTCAGTCAAATTTTGTATCTATATCGTAATTTAGTATAGCTTTATTTGGTAAAGAAAAAATGTGCGTTTAAGAGATTTTCGTAAAAGGACCTTGTATGGGAGCTATGACCAATTATGTATATAAAGACAATATTTCAAAATTCTGTATCTATATCATTATTTGGTAATGAATATTGTTCATCTAAGTGATTTCCTGGAGGGGACCTATTATGAGAGCTATGACCAATTATGGACCGGTCGGGAAAAAATTTCACAGTAACATTTCTGTGCATATAAACAATACTTGTACCAAATTTTATATGGATATCTTAATTTAGTAATGAGCTATGCGCGTTTAAGTGATTTTCGGGAGGGGACCTTGTATGGGAGCTATGACCAATTATGGACCGATCGGGAAAAAATTTCACAGTAACATTTCTGTGCATATGAGTAATACTTATACCTAATTTTATATGGATATCTTAATTTAGTAATGAGCTATGCGCGTTTAAGTGATTTTCGGGAGGGGACCTTGCATGGGAGCTATGACCAATTATGGACCGATCGGAAAAAATTTCACAGTAAAATTTCTGTGCATATGGGCAATACTTACACCAAATTTTATATGGATATCTTAATTTAGTAATGAGTTATGCGCGTTTAAGTGATTTTCGAGAGGGGACCTTGTATGGGAGCTATGACCAATTATGGACCGATCGGGAAAAAATTTCACAGTAACATTTCTGTGCATATGAGTAATACTTATACCAAATTTTATATGGATATCTTAATTTAGTAATGAGCTATGCGCGTTTAATTGATTTTCGGGAGGGGACCTTGTATGGGAGCTATGACCAATTATGGACCGATCGGGAAAAAATTTCACAGTAACATTTCTGTGCATATAAGCAATACATACACCAAATTTTATATGGATATCTTAATTTAGTAATGAGTTATGCGCGTTTAAGTGATTTTCAGGAGGGGACCTTGTATGGGAGCTATGACCAATTATGGACCGATCGGGAAAAAATTTCACAGTAACATTTCTGTGCATATGGGCAATACTTACACCAAATTTTATATGGATATCTTAATTTAGTAATGAGTTATGAGCGTTTAAGTGATTTTCGGGAGGGGACCTTGTATGGGAGCTATGACCAATTATGGACCGATCGGGAAAAAATTTCACAGTAACATTTCT